TATAATCCGATAATGTTTTTTTTAAAATTAAAAAAAGATTAAATTTTTGTTGTTTCAAGTTAATCTAGCGTTATAAAAAAATATATATTAAAAGCAAATGCTTTTTAATTATATTTGTTATAAAAAATATAAAAAAAAGTTTTTTGTCAAATTTTATAATTGTTTTTTATAATATAAAAAAATGGTTAAAGTTAAAAATATTGATGAAAATAAAGAAAATAAAGTTAAGCGAAAACTGTTTGAAAAACCTGTATCTGTAAGTTTATTATTTTCTTTTTTTTTTAAAATTTGTTTTGTATTTTTTTAAAAGTAAACCTTATGTGCCAGAAAACGTATATAAAGTGTCTCAAATTTATGTCCCTCAAGTGGTTGAAACGAGACTACTTGAGGAAACAGATGAACATTTGTATGAAAATGAGCTGGAAATCTACGACGATATTCCAGAAATAGACGACGGTAAATTAATATTTATTATAAACATAATATTTTTTTTAAAAACAAAAAAATATAATAGTTACAAAAATTATTTTTTTAGAACAAGTACGTATACTTGACAGAATTGTTAGAAGAATAGATGATCATTTACAGAATGAATTTGGTACGCCGAGGAGAACAAATGGTTTATCAAGAAATGTTAGACGTATAGTATGTTTTGGTTGTTGTTTGTGTGATGAACAAAGCGAGCACGATCATTGTTGTGTAACAACCGTGTGCCCGTACGTGCAAGAACTATTTGGACGGTGCCGCGGTTGTTGCTATTGTATTTAAAAAAATATGTAAATTTAATATATGTAAAATAAAAAATTCATTTATCAAAATGTCTTTTGATGCGACGGACAATTGTTTGTTATATTTACATCAACTTAATTTAGATTTAAAAAAACATTTACAGGAAACGCATTTAAATCAAGGTGTTTGGATGGATAAAGTTCTTTTAGCTGAAGAAAGCGAATTGAATAGTTGTAAAAGAGTATACGGTTTTTATATTAAAGATTTAAAATTGATAAAGACATATCAAATAGAGTTGATAGAAGTTCTTGTTTTGCTATTTAAATGTCTTCCGCATCGCGTATTTTATCCTGACACGTGTTTTCATAATTATAGTGAAGTTATTGAACATTGTCTTGATGTGTTAAAAACATTTTATTATTATTTTACGTGTATAGATAAATTGTATAAAAAAATAAACTATGTAAATTGTTTAAAAATAATAGTTCAACAATTGTGTTATTATTGTAAAGGATTAGTTGGAGGATTATATTTGCAAAAAGATGTATTGGAATGTTATCATATTATAAAAAAGGAAAGAGGCAATATATTAAATGAAAAAATTTATTAATGTAAAATTTTGTGTTTTATTCTCATAATAAACTTTTAACAAAGTTTTCAAAACTATTATTGATATTTTCAAAGAGTTCTTTATTTGTAAAATTGTGCGTACGTTTTTGAATTTCTTCGTCTATAATAACACCAATGCGATAAAATTCTGCCAACACTCTACAACTATCGGATCCGTATCAGTCTTCTGCTATGTTCATTAGTATTCTTGCTTCTTGAGGGTTGTAACTAACAAATCTAATTTGATCATTTTTCACAAGTTTCATTTTTTTTGTTATGAATTTAAAAAAAATTAAAAAAAATTTATTTCGATAATATTTGTTTTACAAAATTATAAAAGTCTCGTTTAATTTCTTCTGTTTTTTCAATGTTTTTTAAATAGTTTGTTTGTTTTAAAACTTCTTCTTGTACCAATAATAACATATTGCCAAACGCTTTCAATGTTGATGGATCATTAATCTTTTTATGTTCAACATTTAAAAATTTTGTCTTTATATCGGATTCTTTTCTGTTAAAAAATAAAAAGTCTTGATCGTCTCCAGTAATTAGTTTTATTTTTTTATTTTAAAATAAAAAGTTAAATAAAATCATACATGTCATTTCTATTAGGTTTAAAATAAGGATTAATAACATATTCATGTTGTTTAAATAACCAATCTATACATTCCATATAAATATTAAAAAAAGATTTCATGACTAATTTATGTTGCTTAGTAGCAGAAAAACAGTTTATATAATAATTATTTACAAAAAGTTTATATATATTATCAACAATCGATATTTAAATATGTAAATAATGCGATCTAATTAATATACGTCTGTCAATTAATTCAAAACAATCGTCTTCGTGTGATTTGTAAACAGAATTTTGTGATAAAATTTTTTGATTATTTTGAAAAAACAAATACATCAAATTGTTAATTTGTTTACGTAAATTTGGTATGACTATTCGTTGTAGTTTTTCAGAAGCTAACTTTTTTTTACACAAATCTTTTAAAGTCCATGTATCATTACGGTTTTTATAGCTTAATTCTTCATTACACCTAATCCAAAACTCTTTTAATTTGTCTTCTTTTATTGAAAAAAATTTCTCTAAATCATGGTGTATTCTAGCATGTCTAAGTAAATTTTTTCTTAACATTCTAAATAAAATCATATTTATAAATATAACAAGGTTTAAAATGAGGATCATAAACAAATTTACATTGTTCAATTAACCAATCTATACATTGCATATAAATATTAAAAAGAGATGACATAATTAATTTGTCTTGTTTAGTTTTATGACGTAACATTATATAAACATGTTCAAAAAATCGATAAACATAATGAATAATTAATTTCTGAACAAATAAATAATGTTTTTTATAAGTATAATTTGCATTGTTAATATCGTACATAATGTTATCAAAACAAATATTATTAAATTTGTTAAAATACTGATGAATGAAGAATAATTTTTCGTTTCCGTCAAAAAGCGTATGCAATAAATCGTTAATTTGTTTTTGTAAATTTGGTATAACAGTGTTCAAAAGTTTTTCGTAAGCTAATTTTCTTTTACATAAATCTTGTAAGGACCATGTTTCAACATTTGTAACAAGATTGAAAACAAGATCATAGTTGTAATTCCATTCTATCAACTTGTTTTGCTTCATCGAATTAAATTCGTGTAATTCATTAAGGATTTTATTAAATTGATCTTTTTTCATTGCTAAAAAAAATATACAAATTAAAAGATCATTTAAAATTTTGAAAAAAATTATTTTTTATTATAATAGCTCAAAAGTTCTTTTTATTTTAAACTAATAACTTCAGGCGGATAATACGACGGAGTGTTACATTTTGCGTTTTCTGCCAAAAATGGATCTGCCACTTTAAAGTTTGGATATCTGCCTCGATTTTCCAGTTCTGTATACGGTGGAGGATTTACACTTTCTTCGTACAATGGTGGTTTTTCAAATTTAACTATAAACTTTTTATTGATATCCTTTCTACCGATTTCATTTAACAAATTTAAAATAAGTTTGATTTTAGCTTCGTTCGTATTGTATTCATAGTGTTGATATACGAAATCTTTGAACTGTATATATTCCATTAAATCTAGTCCATCTTTAATTTTCTCTCTTATTCCGTACGGAATTTCTAAAAACATTTTTAATTTTCTTACATCAGACGTAGTGATGTAGTCAGCTAAACCTCTCATGATTGCACTGTTCATTTTTTTAATATTCTAAAAAAAATATATCATAAAAAAATATATAATTTTGAAAATACATGAAAAAAAGAAACGTGTATAATAAGTTCATTAATTATATGATTAATTAAATACAAAAAAATACATAACAAATTATATAAAAGAAACGTGTATAATAAGTTTATTGTTTTTTATATGTCTTTTTAATTGATCATGTGTTGCAAAACTATCTGTTCCAATAGCTCGGTTATAAGCTTGAGCAGGTTTTTCAAAAATTCTTTTAACGGTTCGCTATAATTGGCTATTATTTTTGTGTTTTCAATACATTCGTTTTTAACTGTACATGCTACAGTTTTCATGAACGGCCATTTTAAAGAATGATCTTTTGGAGACTGTATTAATTGAAAATAAATACCCATTTTATCTTCTTGATTACTGTAACCAAAAATTTTAAATCGATAGAAATAACCATCTACAGTATAAGAAGGTTGAGTATGATAAGATTCGTTAGATTGCAATCTTAAATCCATTTGGTCCAATTCTATAATTAAATTATCAGAAATGAATTTGTCGTTAATATCTTTATTATAATTTAATATATTATCATATAGTTTCAATTCTTTTTCAAATGTGTTTTTATTTACAAATTCTTTCATTTCCAAGCTGATGTTGTTCAATACTTTTTCAAATGTGTTTTTATTTACAAATTCTTTCATTTCCAAGCCAATGTTGTCCATTCGTTTAGTTTATGCGTTTATTTGTTTGTTGACAGCTTCTAAACTGTTTAGAATGTTATTAGTAGTCATGTTTAAAAAAGTTAAACTTTGTTTTTGATCCATAATAATATTTTTTTGTTTCTCCATTATTTCTTTCCATTCATTTTCAAATCGATGTAAACAATCAATAACGTGTTGATCATAGTAGTTTTTTTGAATTTGATTTCCACCAAATGCACATAATTTAGTTCGATTTCTTTCTACGTGTTCCTCGTGATAAATTTTACATTCATGTTCCCAAGTATCTGTCAATTTAATTTTTTTTCCACAGCTATAACAATCATAATCTTGTGATGTGTTACATTTTAGTTGATGATTAAGTAATTGATCAATAGTAAAGGGTAACTTGCAATAATAACATAATTCTTTTTCCATAGCTTCAGCCATTTTTTTTGTATAATTAGTTGCTAAAAAAAGTATTAATAGTATTAAAAAATGTTATGGCTAATATTATGTAATATTACGGGTAAAATTATAGACAAATAGAGTCAACATATTATAAAAAAACAATATGAAAAATAAACTATTATTAAAAGCAAAAAATACAAGTTATCATAAATTTATAAAAATTTTTTTTCAATGTATATAATCGATTGCAATGACATTTGCTCAGTAAAATATGTTACAATGTTATGAATACGAAATTGCTTTTTCTATGGAATAGAAAAAGTAATCTCATATTCATAATAATTGTAAACAAAAGTCTTTCCATTGTTTTTTTATACCTTTAGTTTTGGCTACCCTTAGATTTAAATAAATTTTTAAGGATAGTCTAAACTAAAGGTACATTAAAAAAGTTCCATTCCATTCATTAGTTTTTTTATTTTTTATACCATTAGTTTTGGCTGCATTAAGAAAATAAATTTCTTAATACACTCAAAACTAAAGGAACATTAAAAATAAAAAAATACAAAATAATTTGAAAAAAGTCAATTGTTTATTTCCATAAGTTCGTTTTCTCCATTATCATCGTTTTCTCCATAATCATCATCATTGTCATTATCATATTCATTAACCATTTCATCGTCATCCTCATCGTCTTCATTATAATCATCTTCATCATCGTCTTCATAATAATCTTCTTCATACTCTTCTTTTTCATCAATAATATCGATGTTTTTCAAATTGAATAAAGAGTCGCCATCTACAAACATGGCCTCGTATGGTTTAACAAATTCTATTTGTGCAGATGGTTTGCCATATTTGTAGATGGCCTTATTTACATCGGCGTAAATGGTTTCCATTTGGCTTTCCATTTTTTGTTTTTTTTTAGTTATTCTAAAAAAATTACAACATGTTATACAATAATATAAAAAACTAATATTCCATGGGTTCAATAATACAGTTTTTAACTTTAATAATCAATTCGTTTAAATTGTTTATTAATTTAAAATTATTTTTTTGTTGTTCGTCAATCAACCATCTTTGTAATGTTTTTAATATAAATTGCGGATTAAATTTTTCTTCTGGATTAACTTGAAAAAATAGCGTAATGACTCGACATTTTTAAATAACTTCTATTGTAGTCGTTGTCAATGGCATCAATAACACAGCAATGCATGTTCAAATAATTAGTAAATTGTTGTCAATAGGCTTCAAGATAGAATGACAAGATATTTGTTAATTCATTTGCACTCATTTTATTTTTTTAATTAAATCTGTAAAAAAATTAGAAAAAATGATATTATATAAATATATATTTTTTAACAACAAAAAAAAAATATTAAAAAAATGCCTCGCACAAGATATACACCTAGATCAAAAAAAACTGTAGATAATTATTTAAATAATCAAATTGATTTTGTACGTACTACAACAAACTCGCAACATACGCAAACAGAAAATAGCGGGAAACCAAGCAATTGTAAAAATATATTAGCATGTTTACGAAAAACTAAAAAAACATATAAAGTTAACAAATCTAATCGTAAATTAGGTCGCGTTGGTAAAAAAGTAAAACGATGGAAAATATCAAACGAAGCTTACGTTAATCGAAAACACGAAAGAAATGCAGCGTTTAAAAAAAGAAAAAAGAAATAAACAATATATTTTATTATAATAAAAAAAACTAGTTAACATCTTTGATTTATAAAATCAATCCGTTCTTGGATTTTTTTTTGTAAAAATTTCATTTTTCGAGCTTTATTTCGATTTAATTTGTATTTGCTCTTTTTCTAAAAAAATAAATAAAATAAAAAAATTATTCTTTTTTTAAAAAAGGGAAAAAAAAGAATAATTTTATTATATAAAAAATCTTACTTTTTTATTAACTTGTAAATGTACATTTTCTTCGTCTGTACCTTTCTCTATTATTTTTTTTTTTCAATTTGATTTTGTGTTATATCATTTAACACTTTCATGAACTCGTCGGCGGTTAGGTTGATTTGAGAGAACACAATCTCTTGGTCGTCTTCTATTACGATAGTTTCAGGAATATCTTTATTTTCCCACATTTTTTTTCTGCAAACAACTTTAGTGATTGCCATTTGATTTTTGGTATAAAAAAATACATCTTTTATACTAAAATATTTAATCTCTATAGATTAAGTAAAATAATAGATTTTTGTGACAAACAAGATATATTTAGAAACTTTTAATCTTACTTTTTACGTAGGATTATATAGGGAATTTCTCAGGGAATTTCCCTTAAAATGTGCGTAAACAACTTTAAAAAAATCTCTGTGTAGAAAAAAATCTCTGCGTAAAGTGTTATAATGTCAATTTAAATGAATTCAAAACACGCTTAAACAGCACGTCGATGTAGCATAGTGCATCGTATCATTTCCGCACTATGTTGTAAACCGCCATGAACCGATCGTCCAGGGTTCGAATCTCTCTATAACTTTACGGCTTTAACATTATATGTATAAACACATTGAGCGAACGCTTGATGACGTATGTCTAGATAGTTTAGTTAGTTATATGTTAATCACATTGAGTTACGGTGTTACTACTGTTACTTGATGACTGTCCCCACTGAGAGCTCATACTTTCGGTGAGTCCTATATGTGAACCACATTGAGTATCATTGATACTTGATGATTGTACCCCACTGAGAAGCATACTCTCGGTGAGTATGTGTGTGATCGAGCGTGTATGTACGAACGGGTGAGCAGGCATAAGTAAGGCAAAAATGATAGACTAAGTAAGTAAGGTTAAGTAAGTAAGTAAGTAAGTAAGATACAAACAACCGGTTGTAAAAAAAACAATATAGTAAAAATAATAAGTAGGCCTACTAAGAAAAACAAATTAAGTTAGGTAAGGCAGGTTAAGTAAGGACAGTGTCGGGTGACACAAAATATTTTTAAAAAAATATATAAGTTTTTTTTTAAGTTTTTTACAAGTTAAAAAAATGAGAAGGGGACACAGACGTAATAAACATGCAAAAAAGATATATTTTTATTAACAAAAAATCAAAACCGAATGCACGTTTAAACAATATGATGGGAGGAGGTAAAAATAATATGTTGGTTAAAAAATGTGTCTTAGTTAATATTTTATATTTTAATAACGTAATTTTTTAAGGTAAAAAAACATGTAAACGTTTACATGTTTGACATATATTCAAATAAAAAATATTAATTTTTTAATAAAGGTAAAAAACACCGTGGCGGTAACGTTTTTAGAAGATTAAGAGGCGGTTTAAGTAATCCATTTGCTGATCCTGTGAACAAGTTATTTAAACAACTTATAAACTTATAAAAATAATTAAGTTTAAAAAAGAATGTCATTAGATGATGGTTGTTTGTTTAAACATAGTTATTGTGAACATGCTAATAAAAGATATCACAGAAAAGAACATTGTATCAGTTGTTATACTAACGCATACGTTAATATTATTAAAGATGATCTAGAGTTTTATAAATTATTACTTGAAGATATGGGTGAATATTCTTTAAATAACATAAGAGCCGATGTAACAAGTTATGGCGAATAAATATTAACTTTTAAATATTTTAATGATTATCTTTGTCAAATAATAAGTGGAAATAAAAAAGAAGGACATACAGACATTTCTACTTTTTTAGGAGGATTTGTTATTGATTATAAAGTACGTTCTGGTTTAAAAACAATGAGACATGTAAATAAAGGCGACATATATTGGTTATGAATTACCTATAACAAAATAATATATTTAATACTGTTGTTTTTTCATTTTTTTAAAAGGGTATATATAAAAGAATAAAAAAATGTTTATTTTAAAAAAAAATTTTAGTTTTTTAAAAAAAATTGAAGGTAACTGCTTTTAAAGAATCTCTTTTACAATTTTATAATGTTAAAGATTTGGAAAATTTACAAACAAACGATAGTTTGAAAGATGTAAATGGTAATTTCAAGTTATTTTTTCGCTTGGACGGTAGCAATCAAATAAAAGTAACTCGTTCAAACGATATAGCTAACATTGATTTTATATTTGAAGTATTTGGTATGAGTGTTAAAAAAGTATTTAGTATGAAATATGATGATTTTGTATCATTTATAAAGGATTCATTATCAATATGGTTGTTAGAAGAATGCGAATAAAAAAAAGACGTGCTCGTAAAGTTAAACGAAAACAATGCGCTCGTGGTTTATCAGACTATGTTACACCTCAAAATGTAACTAATGTTTTAAAAGTGGGTTCATTATTATACAGTTTAAAAAAAGCATGGAAAGGGAAAAAATCAAAACCTGCTGTAACAACAAAAACAGTTGCAATTCAACCACCCGTTAATTTATATAAACCAGCGGATAAAAGTTTTGAAGTATCTTAAATAAAATTAATGTAAAAAAACATTTATTTTTTAAATAAAATTAAAATACAATGTAAAATTTATTTTCTTTTCTTGTGTCTTGTGTTTTTTTTATAAAAGTTTTTTTTTTCCTTTACACACATCACATAGTAGTTTATTTGTTTTCATTTCCAATTTTGTTTGATTTGGTTTATGTAGAAGCCAAACTTCATTGTTAAAAACGGTGCTCGTACATTCTTTTAAATAATTTATCAATTTCGGATCTTGCAAATTAACGATATATAATAGTCCGTTTCCAGCGCACGATTCACAAATTTCTTCTATAACTTTTTCTCGAATTTTGCATAAAGCTGCTTTCTGTATACTTGTTGACATTTTATTATATTAAATTTTGAACAAAGAGAGTTTTTATTTCTTTTTTTGTCATGACATCATCTTGAGGTACGTCAATAAAATTATTTATATCTTTTAATCTTCTGTAATCGAAAAAATACATATCGTTCATATTTTCGTAACGTTTTAAAGCAAGGTTTTCTTCGTTCATAACATCTCTAATAGCATTGATATCTTGAATAGATATTTTATCCCATTGACATTCATTGTTAGTTCTTAATAATCTTGCATCGTTTAAAAAGCTTCTAATCTTGTTATTAATCATGACTTCATTTTTAAAAATGTCATTTTCTATAGGAATTTTCATTGTTTTCATTGATACATTATTGCGTACCAGACTCTCAGTTTTTCTTAAATAGAGATGTAGTTTCATGTCTTTTTCAAAAAGTTGTTTAGCAGTAGCATCCAAGTGTTTAAATAATTTAGTTCTAACAAAGTGAAAAAATGGAAGCAAATTTGAGCTAGTTCGGAAGCATGAAGAGATAAAACTTCATAGAAGTGATAGTTCAGTAATCTGCACAACAAAGGTAAATAAATTTGACCGTTAATAAGATAGTTTGGTAACAAGGATATAAAATAAGCGGCAAAAGCTCCGCACAAACTACTGTTTTCCCATTGGAAACAAGTTTTGTTTTAAGAAAACAAAATAGTTTGTTGACCCGTCATTGAACTATATTTTAATATAAATTTTGAAAACCAATAAAATTCATGATTATCAGCTGTCCATTCGTAAGGAAAGTGATTAGTTAGTCGTATGTAAGAACTTATTTCATGTTTAGAACTTATGTAATGTTTAGAGTGTTTATTTGTATGTTAGTTTGTATTTCTTCTTCAGATTCAAACAAATGTCTATTGCTTCTTAAAAAAAGTGGAATTTGTTTTAAACAGCTTTCAGTACCTAAACTGTCAAAACAAAAAAAATGATTAGCGTCTAATTTGAATAAAAGTCTCCAATGTTCTCCATTTTCTTTGCTAGTTTCGTTATTATAAATAAAAAAAGAACCATTTTTTACCATTCGCTTAATAATGTTTACGTGTGTTTGAGTTTGACTCAATTCGTCAAAAGCGTAAACACCAAAAAAATAATCTTTCAAAATGGCTTCATTAATAAAATAACTAGACAAAGATTC